ATTCCGATTTCACCTAACCAAAACGATTTTAGGTAAAATCTCGATTTTGACAACCTTGATCTTGAGGTTTAACTTAACTCGGTATTTTCTTAATATTTGACTTTTATTCTCTCTATATATAAAAATTAGTTTCTATTTGTAACAATTATTGTTGTTAAATATTCTGCCAGGAATTTTGTTGGAGGGAGCGTACTATACCGGCAAAATCTGAATCTAAGGCTAGGATCGATTGATTTCATGGAAAAAGGTACTGTATACAATTCACTTAAATGTTTTTAACTTTTTATCATCGTTACTATAGGAATGTTTCGTATTGCTACTAAGGCTAGTATAATTTGAATCATACTTTGATCATTTTTAATAGTTTTAATTTGATTTTTTTTTTTTTTTGGACAATAATTTCATATGAAAATTTAACATGCTAAGCTTTCTTCTTATGAAACTGGTTTGAGTGGATAGATTGCTAGGCTTTCTTTTGATATATTACATGCTTAAATGGTTTAGAAATGAGTAAGATATGAAGACTCAAATGTCTAGGATTTGATGGGGCAATTGGGTTTGTTCTTAGGTTAAATGTCAATTTTTGCCCCCAAACATTTAATTTTAAATAAATTATGAACTTTCAATTTTATTGGTACTATCAATTTTTATATTTGATTCTCTCACATTAGGTTCATCACTTTAGAAGAAATTGAGGTTTAAATAGATATAATTGTGCTTGTTGGAGTTATTTTTAGATAAATAAGTAATTAAATCTGTGAAAAGTAATATGCAACAAAATTATTATATCTTTCATTGCCTTGCTTTTTGTCATGTCAAACAATAAATTATATAATAAGAGATAGTTTTACATTCTTTTTCATCTATTACAAAATTTGAATTTAAAAAATCCAATAAGAAGGCTCAAGTTTTTAATTAGTGAAATGAAAGTCACAATTGGACTTCCATTGCCGTTTTATCTAGACCAGAAGTTGGAATTCAGTTAATATCAGCTTTGACCTCGCTCAGTAAATTTGAACAAGAATATATGGTGAAAATGTATAGGTAAAGATACAAATTTTGTTTTTTTTTTTTATACTTAAATATATGAACTTTTAGGTTTTTAAATTTGGCATAAACTTTTAATTTTTAATTTTTTCAAATATGAATATGAACTTTGTGTTTTTTTTCTATTTAAGGATTCATTAGCTGACGATAATGATGTATCAAATGATAATTTTAATCAAAATATAGCAAAGTTCATATTCACAAACAGAGAAAGTGAAAGTTTACTATCTTACTTAAAAGCCCAAAAAGTTTATATTCTTTAATAAAAAATGACAAAATTTGTATTTTTATCTAAACCTTTTTCTTAAATATATGCTCTAGGCTTGACTATCTTATTGGCCTAACTTTTCTTTAGTCTATATACTCTCTTTGTCCCAAAATAAGCATAGTTTTTTTATTTTAAATTTGAAATCCAAATTAATTATCATTTTTTTATTTCTCAAGGTAGACAAATATTTTGTTCTTATATTAATCTCATCATTATACATTCACTTTAATTAATTATCCAATCACAAAAAATCTCTCTTTATCTTTTATTTTTTAAAGAGTATTATATATAAATACAATTATTATCCCTAAATTATTGATTAATTGAAAAAAAGACAGCTATATTGGGACGGAGGGACAGTAAAGTTTAGTTTTTTATTTGTAATAATAATTATTATTATTACTAAATATTCTGCCAGAAATTTTGTTGGAGGGAGCAAACTGGAGTGCCAAGATCTGAAACAAAGAAAGTTAGGATGGATTGATTTCGGAGAAAAAGGTATTGCATGATTCACCTAAATATTTTTAATTTCTATTGTTGTTACCATATAAATATTTTGTGTAGTTTAAACTATATAAAATTATACAAAACTAAACCTAGGATGGGGAAGGGTCCTAAATATGTGGGCCTTCCCTGTCATCTAAGAGTTTTTTTTTAAAAAAAAAAAATTCTATATAAATGTATTTTTAAATAATGATTATTATAATTGTACATGTAATCCATGCGTATGAAATTTATAATGGTTATATTAACTTAAAAAATCAATTTTAAAAGTATAAAATAAATTCTAAATGAATCACTTTAACTTAAGCAGTAAGTAACAGCACTTCTTAAGAACCTAAAAATGAAGAAAAAGCTTATATGATGAACTTTAAAATGTTCTGCTATTTTCGTTTTTAGAAATCTAAACTATCAAAAATTTGTAAAAATAGTAAAGTAAGAGCCTTATAACTTTCAAGACAGTCATAACAATTCTAATATAACTGGGAAAAGAGAGATAGAGAAATTAAGGTAAAAATAGTATATAATAATAAATAAAGATTCAAGAAGTGATTAAGAAAAAGGATAATATTAAAGAAATAGGAGTAAGAAGAAATATTAATAACAAACAAATTATTAATATATAAAATAAAAAGAATGATGAATGGAGAATAGATAGATAAATATAATAATAAAATATGAGACAAAAAGCTGAAAGAAAAAGTTTCAAAAAAATTAATAAAAGCTTAAGTATACGTAAGTGGAAAAGTAGCAAAGGTAAAAATTGGTGTAAAAAAAAAAATATTTTGATAGATAAAGATTTAAAGATATATCTAAAAAGGAGTAATAGAAATGAGACGATAATGAGAAAATGAATATTAATAAATAAATTATTAATATAAAGAGAAGAAAGTATGGTAAATTATTAAAATATGAATT